TCAGCCGAAAATTAGTAGTTTAAAGCTTCGCATTCACAGCGAAGATCCTGGGAGGGGGTGGGGGAGGTGGATTGTAATGAGGAGGCAGCAATCTATGATCAGCTGTCTGCCTCTGAAAAACTCACAGAGAAGGGAATTGATTAAGAGAGAAGAAATGGTGCAACACTGAGCTCAGAGCTGAACCAATCCCCCCCCCCAAGAATGAAAAAAAGGATAGAGAATCCACGAATGGCAATAACTACCTTTCTGAATCTAAATTAGGAGCCAAATTCTCACGTCTCTTCAGGGCTGAGACCAAACGAAACTGGGGCATGGTCAGACCTTGCAGAGGCGTGGCAACTTTGATTGTTTGGTCTGATTGGGCTAGAAGACTAAATCAACCCATTCGTGGAGTCTACATTCCTCTACATTCTGGAGAACATGAGCTTCTCATTGCAAAATTTAAGCTTAAATTGAAGAAAGTAGGGAAAACCTACTACCCAAATCTAGACCCCAACCACTGGTGCTGAAGAGGATGAAATTGACCGGTTCTATAGCACCTTATAGAATCAACACCAAAAAATGATGTCCTTATCATCATGGGGTATTGGAATGCTAAAGTAGGAAGCCAAAAGATAACTGAAATAACAGGCAAGTTTGGCCTTGGACTACAAAATGAAGCAGGGCACAGGCTGATAGAATTTTATCAAGAGAATATGATGGTCATAGCAAACACTCTTTTCCAACAATCCAAGAGACGGTTCTACACATTGACATCACCAGATGGTCAACACAGAAATCAGATTGATTATGTGCTCTGCAGCCAAAGATGGAGAAGCTCTATACAGTCAGTAAAAGCAAGATCAGAAGCTGACTGTGGCTCAGATCATGAGCTTCTCATTGCAAAATTTAAGCTTAAATTGAAGAAAGTAGGGAAAACCACTAGGCCACTCAGGTATGAACTAAATCACATCCCTGATGAATATACAGTAGATGTGACAAATAGATTTAAGGAATTAGATCTGATAGACAGAGTGCCTGAAGAACTATGGTTGGAGGTTCGCTACATTGTACAAGAGGTAGCAATTAAAACCATCCCAAAGAAAAAGAAATGCAAGAAAGCAAAATGGCTGTGTGAGGAAGCTTTGCAAATAGCTGAGGAAAGAAGGGAAGCGAAAGTCAAGGGGGAAAGAGAAAAATACACCCAACTGAATGCAGAATTCCAGAGAATATCTAGAAGAGACAAGAATGCCGTCTTAAATGAACAGTGCAAAGAAATAAAAGAAAACAATAGAATAGGGTGAACCAGAGATCTCTTCAAAAAAATTGGAGATATGAAGGGAACGTTTCATGCAAAGATGGGCATGATAAAGGACCAAAATGGCAGGGACCTAACAGAGGCAGAAGAGATTAAGAAGAGGTGGCAAAATTACACAGAAGAACTATACAAGAACAAGCTTAGCGTCCCTGATAACCACAGTGGGGTGGTCACTGACCTCAAGCCAGACATCCTAGAATGTGAAGTTAAATAGGCCTTAGGAAAGCTGAGCAACAACAAAGCTAGTTGAGGTGATAGTATTCCAGCTGAGATATTCAAATCTTAAAAGACGATGCAGTAAAAGTGCTACACTCAATTTGCCAGCAAATTTGAAAAACTCAACAGTAGCCACAGGATTGCAAAAGGTCAGTTTACATTTCAATTCTAAAGAAAGGCAATGCCAAAGAATGTTCAAACTATTGCACCATTGCACTCAATTCACACACAAGTAGAGTTATGCTTAAAATCCTACAAGCTAGACTCCAGCAGTATGTGGATCAAGAACTTCCAGAAATACAGGCAGGATTTCAAAGAGGCAGAGGAACTAGAGATCAAATTGTCAAACCTACACTAGATCATGGAGAAAGCTAGGGAGTTCCAGAAAAACATCTACTTCTGCTTCACTGATTATGCTAAAGCCTTCAATTGTGTGGATCACAACAAATTGTGGCAAGTTCTTAAAGAGATGGGAGTACCAGACCATCTTATGTGTCTCTTGAGAAATCTATATGCAGGTCAAGAAGCAACAGTGAGAACTGGACACGGAACCACTGATTGGTTCAAAATTGGGAAAGGAGTCCAGCAAGGCTGTATTCTGTCGCCCTGCCTATTTAACTTATATGCAGAGCACATCATGAGAAAGGCAGGGCTAGATGAATCAAAAGTTGGAATTAAGATTGCGGGAGAAATCTCAGCAACCTAAGATATGCAGATGATATCCCTCTAATGGCAGAAAGTGAAGAGGAACTAAAGAGCATCTTGATGAAGAGTGCAAAAGTTGGCTTGAAACTCAACATTAAGAAAACCAAGATCATGGCATCCGGCCCTCTCAATTCCTGGCAAATAGATGGGGAAGAAATGGAGGTAGTGACAGATTTTATTTTTCTGGGCTCCAAGATCACCTCAGATGGGGACTGCAGCCAAGAAATTAAAAGACGCTTGCTCCTGGGGAGGAAAGCTATGGCAAATCTAGACAGAATACTAAAAAGCAGAGACATCACCCTGCCAACAAAAGTACGTATAGTCAAGACCATGGTTTTTCAGTTGCAATGTATGGCTGTGAAAGTTGGACCATAAGAAAGGCTGAGTGCAAAAGAATTGAGGCCTTTCAACTATGGTGCTGGAGAAGAATTCTGCTAGTCCCCTGGACTGCAAGGCAATCAAACTGGTCAGTCCCAGAGGAGATCAACCCTGACTGCTCTTTAGAAGGCCAGATCCTGAAGTTGAAACTCAAGTACTTTGGCCACCGAATGAGAAGGAAGGACTCACTGGAGAAGAGCCTAATGCTGGGAAAGATTGAGGGCAATAGAAGAGAATGAGGTGGCTGGATGGAGTCACTGAAGCAGTAGGCGTGAGCTTAAATGGACTCCAGAAGATGGTAGAGGACAGGAAGGCCTGGAGGAACGTTGTCCATGAGCTCACAATGGGTCAGACACAACTTCGCAACTAACAACAACAACAATGCAGTTGATGAAATTGGTTTGAATCAACTATACTTGATCCTAAATTCTAGGGGACTTTTCAATTTTCTAAGCAGTTATAGGAAATGAAATGGCTCACAGAAACAATGAACAGAGTGTGATTGGATCTGCAGATTCATATCCAATGACTTTTTTCACAGTTATCCACAAGATAGATAGATAGATAGATAGGTAGATAGGTAGGTAGGTAGATAGATAGATAGATAGATAGATAATCTTTATTGTCATTTTTTCTGTGGGCACAATGGCACACATTACAAATGAAATTTAGTTGCTTGCTTTCTAAGTGTACAGATACATAACACACATTTAAACATACTATATACGACGTGTATAGACCTACACCCTTACATATAAGTAACATATAAATATTAATCACTGTCTATCTCAAATACATAACGGAAGGAGGAATCTTTTATAAAAGATTCAGTTAATATTGTCCACAGGTCATAGTGGGACATAATTATGAGATTCTTCAAAAGATAAGAATTTTAGTTAAGGTGTCATTTTTGTACAGTTTTTTTTTAGATGGAACTTGTAAGAATATATGAGAACATTTAAATTTGTAAATGTCAAGAATGTAGATTGGGTTTCCTGTATCATAAGCACTACCATCTGAATCTATGATCTATTTCTTGCCTGGGTCCTTCAGATTACAACGTGTGATGTGTAAAGCTAGATGCAAGAGAAAATGAACATGACTTTAAGGGAAAGGGTGATGCAAAAAAGATGTCTTGGTTATCTTTGTCAATTGCTATTCTTGTAAACCAAAATATATCTCTAATTCTAAAAGAACACATTTGCACTCTGGCAGATGCTTTGTATATTCCTCACAGAGGACCTCAGAATGTTACATCATAGTTTATTCTTCACCATACGAATTGGAGTTAACTTAAAAATAGCCACCAAATCATATGGGAGGATTAAGAACAAAAAAATAATTTAATTTTCCCACTCTTGTGGCCATAATGTAGACTCATACAAATTTTCATTTGGACTCTCTTAATCTTTTTCCTATATTATCCTGAGAATCTCCTGAAGCTCATGGTAAATATTAAGGGTTCCATAAGGATCAGTAAACAGAGATACTCTGCTCAAGAGCAATTCTTATCCATGGCCATCAAGCATCCTTGCTCTAGGAAGTGACTACAATCTCTGTCAACCTGCCCACCAGATGTTCAAGAAAACACTCAAACAACCTTCAGAAGCAAATCAAATCTCTCAGATATCCAGGTCAGAAAGATGGGGAAGCTACTCCAAATTTAATCAGTCTCCAAATCTCACAAACACAAAAACTAGATGTTCTAAGTACATTCTTCTATTTTCCAGCTAATCACAAGGAAAGCAGAGAAAACAGTATGGCACCAACACTATTTGTTGACTACAGTAGAATTTTTGCTCACATTAGTAGTTGATAATTTGCTGTAGGCATGATCTCACCATTTCTGCCTACACTTGAAAAAAATGCAGAATAAATCTCCCCTACCAAAACACCTGAGTTACATATTCAACCACTGTTTGCTGTCTCAATGTGCCTGCCACTTCCAATTCAGTATATTAAGATTTATCAATGCATTGTAATCTACACTGCCACCATCCCAATCTTTTTCAGCATCTGCTTAGCAAACTCACATCTGGTGAAGTGTTGCCTAGTAAATTCCAACTCATTCTTGTTTGCTTGTCTCTCTGCTAGTATTGCTTTTGCTGATGCACTAAAATTTTATCTACATAGCTTTTTATCATTTCTGTACAAGTTTTCTCTCACCATCAACCTCCAAAGTTTCCCAGCCAGCATAAGATTTGCAACCTGTTTTTGGGTAACCAACCAGCTACCCAGCTGCCCTTGGAGGTAAAAATTAGCAAAATTCAGTAAATTAGAAAGAGAAACCAACAGATAAGGATTCTAATAGAGCCAGTCACTACAATGATTACTAGATTCCAAAACAATATGAATAATAGGTGCCACTTTTTCTAAACTTCTTAGTAATTATTTTCTTATTTACCAGTAGCCTGTACAACTGCAGTCCTTTCTGAAGCATGACGACATATATTTTGCATATCATGTACAGCTACTTCCAAATCTGAGGTCAAATGTCTTCTTTGTTCAGTTAACTCCTGCAGCTTATGCTCTATAAAAAAAATCCAAATAAAATATTACTATGTAATATGCTAAATAGAAAATTGCAGTGATTAGCAGGTATCTAGTATTTTTATGTCACTTCCAGAGAAGAATGAACTCCTACCCTTTCATAACATCTACCCATTTGCCAGTAATTAAATGTGTAGCATTTTCATTTTATTTATTTTGTTTATTCAATTTCTATAGCTACCCATCTCAGTTTGAAATACTACAGAATAGATGTTAAAATTATTAAACTATTAGGAAGAACTAACTCTCTATTATAGTCTTAGGATGGTAACCAGCTTGATTGGGGGATTGTAATGCTGTTGTGAGAGACAATTTGGTTTAATAGTTAAGGTATCAGGCTAGAGTCCAGGAGACAGTGAATTCTAGTCCCCCTTGGGCATAAAGCCAGCTAGGTGCTATTAAGCCAGTCACTATTTGCTATTAAGCCATTGCAAATCACCTTTGAAAAACCTTGCCAAGAAAACTGCAGGGCCTTATTTAGGCAGTGTCTGAGAATTAGACATGATTTAATGAAAAAAAAATGTTATTGTGTTGTGAATGCCAGAAGACCTGAAGTAAAGTTTGTTTCTCTCACACTCAGCATTATCTTTGAACAGGTGCATATGCTTGAAATTAACCTGAGGTTCAAATCTCAGTTTAAGTAAATATGCTCTGGTCCAGGCCTCTATAGGGCAAAGTTAATTGCTATTTCTGCAGTAGGACTGTTTTTCTAAAACATTAATATATATTATTCTTAATTGCAATAGGCAAATGGAATGTCTGCTCGTGGCTTTATGTATGTGGATTTAATTTAATATCGATCTTTACATCTAAGAATAAAATACTAGCAGCACAATCACTGAAGAGGACAGTTTTTTTCTATCAGATAGTTTCTGGATTAAGAAAGGCTTCCATGAAACTATTTTTCACTTGGCATAACATGAGTAACAGTAACAAATGCTATTTTCAAACATGCGTCTTCACCATAAGTACCTGTGTTTATTGGATTCAAAATGTGTGAATGTGTTTTATATATATAAAAAATCTCACATACCACTGAAACTGCCTGGTTGGATAGCTACAAGTTTCTGAATTTCTTGTAGTTCTTTCTGATTAAATCCCAGTGTTTCCAGTAACTGATGTTTCTTCTCAGATAGTTCATGCAACTTCTGTAATTCCTTTTCTGCAAACAAAACATTATAAACGATCATTTCATAAATATTTTTAAGCTCTTCATTTTAGCACTGCTTTCAATATAGACATAAATTAATCATTTTATCTGATTACAACATTCTGAATTTGAAAATTTGGTCACTATAGGATCTCTGTCCCCCAGGCTCCCACCCCCATTAGCCTTTTGAAAGATCTTAAAAGATTGGTCTTTCCGTAAGTGTTGGATAAGGTGAGGCTGGAACCCAGTGATTGATATTTCCTGTGTATTGCAAATTGTTGTTAAGAGTACAAGAAGCATGAATGGAAGGTACTGATTTTTATTTTTTATTTTATTTTATTTTTGATGCTGCTGTGAGCCACTGGATGGCTCATAAGATTGGTGATCATATAAGTCTCATATATACATTACATACATACATTTCCCCAAAATAGATATGCCAAAATACCTTACTATTCTTCTGAGGAATCTCTACAGATAGATGAAAAAGTATATAATTGTCCTCATTTTTGATAATAAGGTTTACAATACTAAAACAATATGCACAATCAATGATGTTTGATAAAACGCTTAGTTATTATTTCCTTACCAGTAGGTTGTATAAATGTAATTCTTTCTGAAGCATGATGACATACATTTTGCATACTATCTAGAGTTGCCTCCAACTCTGTGGTCAAATTTCTTCTTTGCTCATTTAATTCCTGCCACTTATGTTCTATAATCATGATACAACATTACTATGCATAAAAATAGATGAATTCATTAAATTCATTTTTAATTTTATCTATATTTCAAAACATTAACGATTAGCATATAACTAGATAATAGAATGAGTCTCCACTCGTTCATTGGTGATTAAATGTAGACCGTTACATATACTAGATATTAAAATTATTAAATGGTTCTCGATGGAGAATCTATCCAGCTAAAATAGTCTCAAGAATGATGCTGTGCTAAAAAATACCACCAGAGCTGTATTTTACATATCATTACCTTTAACCAAGGACATAACTTGAAATGAACCTACAGTGTGAGCTTAAGTCAAAATTTCCTTACATACTTCTATGAATTCTATAGTTTCAAATTAACTGTCTTATTTGCAGTTGAACAAATTTTCTAATACATTAATACATAATATTTTTAATTGCAACAGAGAAATGCTACCTCTGCTTGTAGTACAGTAAATTTCAAAAGTTAATATCTGTATTTACAACTAGCAATGAATACATCAACAATATACGTAATAACTGAAGAGGAAGTCTTTCACAACCTGCTAACTTTCAGAGAAACCTATGTCTACTAAACAAGCTTTCCTGACATAGTTTTTCACTTAGTAGGTAATGAATAGATTACAATACCAAAGGCAGTTTTTAATCAGTATCTTCATCCCAAATAGTGTACCTATGCTTAACTATCTGACTCCAAATATATATACTATATTTATATAATATAATAGTTTATCTATATAGTGTAAGCAACATCACATACCATTAGCACTGTCTGGTTTGATAGGTGCACATTCCTGAATTTCTTGTAGCTCTCTCTGATTAGATTCTAGTGCTTTTAGTAACTGATGTTTTTTGTCAGACAATTCATTCAATTCAAATAATTCCTCTTCTGCAAGCAAACAAACTCAAGACAGGTTTATTCTGAGCAACAACATAACAACAATTTATGTGTGTGTGTATTGTGTGTGTATATTCAAGAAAAAAAGAGAAAAAATGTTAAGAATATAATAAAGAGAAAAAAATAAAAAAGAAATAATTTATTTTCAAACTTGTCCTTCCAAAGATTTGAACAACTTAGAAATAGTTAATGAGTTATTTCTGAAAGTGAATAGAATGTGAAATTTACAAACATTTTGTACTCCATGATTATGAGCAAGATTGCTAATCCCATCATCATCATCTCATAGCTCAAACCCATGGAAAACCATTATACTGCAATCTCCTTGCAGACCAGCTGTCCAGAGCACAGTTAAACATTTTTCTGTGTTGTTATCCAGACAAATTCCAAGGAACTAGTCAATTCACTGGGAGAATGTTAATATTCAACATTAAAGATTACTAGTGATTAAGATGGATTTGTAACTGGCTGACAAACCATGCTCAACGAGTAGTCCTCAATGGTACTACATCTACATGGAGAGAAGTAAGCAATGGGGTACCACAAGGTTCCGTCTTAGGCCCAGTACTTTTCAATATCTTCATCAATGACTTAGATGAGAGACTAGAAAGGGAACTTATCAAATCTGCAGATAACACTAAACTGGCAGGAATAGCCAGCACCCCAGAAGACAAGCTCAGGATTTAAAAAGATATTGACAAACTGGAGCAGTGGGCCCTATCCAACAAAATGAGTTTTAATGTGGAGAAAAGCAAAGTTTTACATTTAGGCAGGAAAAATCAAAGATATAAGTACAGATTAGGTGAGACCTGGCTCAAAAACAGTAACTGTGAGAGGGATCTTGGAGTCCTACTGGATGATCACTTGACTATCAGCCAGCAATGTGCAGCAGCAGCCAGAAAAGCTAATACAATCCTGGGTTGTATAAATAGAGGCATAGAATCAAAATCATGTGAAGTATTAGTGCCACTTTATAAAACCCTAGTGAGATCACACCTGGAATACTGCAACCAATTTTGGTCACCATACTATAAAAAAGATGTTGAGACCTTGGAAAAACTTTAGAGAAGAGCAACTAAGATGATCAAAGGCCTGCAGACTAAAATATATGAAGATTGGCAGCAGGACTTGGATTTGGCTAGTCTAAAGAAAAGAAGAAATAGGGGAGACATGACAGAAGTATTCCAGTATTTGAGAGGCTGCCACAAAAAAGAGGCAGAGAGCACCAGAGGGCAAGACAAGAAACAATGGTTGGAAACTGACTAAAAAAAGAAGCAACCTGGAATTAAGGAGAAACTTCCTGACTGTGAGGACAATTTACTAGTGGAACAGCTTGCCTTCAGAAATTGTGGGCCCTCCATCACTGGAACTTTTTAAGAAGAGGCTGGACAGTCACTTGTCTGAGATGGTATAGGTTCTCCTGCTCAAGCAGGGGGCTGAACTAGAAGACCTCCAAAGTCCCTTTCAGCTCTATTCTATTCTATTCTGTTCTGTTCTGTTCTGTTCTGTTCTGTTCTGTTCTGTTCTACTCTACTCTACTCTACTCTACTCTACTCTACTCTACTGGTGAAGGCAGGCATCAGGGATTGTATTCATTTGTCATGTGTGCCAACTAGTAAAATCCTTTCCTAGAAAGCCTGTTGGCTTGCTATAACCTGTTAGATCACACTTATAACCCTGGGACACAATATGATTAGATTTTATTGTTGATCTTTCCTTAGTACAGAGTTATATCAGCATTTTGACAGTAATGGCTTTGTTTAAAGGCTTAGCCCACGTACTTCCTTGCAATGGTCTCCCTACAACTCAGGAAATAACACAACTTATTAAAGATTTTAGATACATGTTCAAACATGTAATCTCAGATTGCTGATTGCAAATTTCTTCTGGGTTTTAGAAGGCTCTCTTTCAATTCTTGAATATTAAAATTAATTTTCTTCCATCATTTGGCATCAAATGGAGAATATGAGAGAATGAACCAAGCATTTCAGCAAAATTTAAGATATTACATCTGTTTTCAACAAAATATTGGACTCGTCTATTGTCACTTGCATAATTTGCCTGTAATTCAGTACGTTCCTCCATCAGCATGTCCTTATTTCAGATGGCTTATACCTTACCTCCTCCCACCCCATTCCTCTCTTGCCCACAAGAACTGCTGCATCTACAGTTCCCACACCTCAGATTTTCTGCAGGAGAGGCAAGGAGCTAATTGTTTCTTTAAAAAATATTTAGATTTGGCAAAAATTGCATACAAGCAAGCCACAGAAACAAACAGAAAAGATAGTGTCAACATTGAAAATGATTGAATGTAGCATCTACACTTTTATCCCTTGTCCAAATTTTCAAGAAGGTGGACTTGAAGTTTATTGGCCATTCATTTGCAATTACAAGCATCAATAAAAATTCATTATTTTCCATCAATCATTCCTTATGTGAATGACACTCCTTCTCCTGCAATTTTGACTAGAACAGATCTACTCTCTCCTATTCCTGGAGGGTGAAGAGAAAGAGTATGATAGAAGCTATTCTGCATTTTAGATTCAATGTTTGGAATACCTAATTCAATAGAAGGACTATCCAGAGTCAGAGAGATATGGGAAAAAGCAACAGATGTGCAAACCCCACAACTTACATACCAATTTCATCAGCAATTGCTCTCCTGAGGGAATGACTAGTTAGCACAGTTTGGGACAACTCATGCAAGATGTTGATTGGCTAGAAAAATCATTATGCTAAACAAACTTTAAAAAAATAAAAGCGAAAGTCAAAAGATAAGATGGCTGAATGGGATTAAAAAGAGTTTACTGCTGTCTTTGAAAGAACTACAGTATGATAGCTACATTCTATTCTAGCTGAAATAGCAAGCATTTCTCTACATAAACCTATACTTCATCCACCAAACTAAAGAAACTATATTTAATCAATCCATACATTTAACAAACTAACTTAAAGAACAAATTCAGTGACCCTCTCGGGAGCTTCCGGTGGCTAGCGACGATGATGGCGGCTACTTTGTAGCCGTCCTCCTGAGACGGTGTCAGATCTGCGGAGCACAGCGTGCATCAGCTGGCCCGTGGCTCGAAATCCCCTTCCCGGGCGAAGGGAAGGGGTAGAGACTACACGAATAGAGGTAGAACCTCTTAACCCCCCCTGGATTTCTTTTTTTTTGGGGGTAGAAAGAGTATTCCCTCGGAGTTCGTGCTTTCTCCGCCTCTCAGCTGTCTTTGTTTCTTCGGAAACAAAGTGAAACGCTGCTACCATCTCCGTGCTTAAAGTTTTCTGGTGAGTGATTTTTAAAGCGGACAGAAATGTTTAAAGGATTTTACTTAGAGTTAGAGATTTATTTTTTTTATTTTTTTTTAGCTTATGCTGATTCTGTTTTCTTTTGTTTTTTTGGGGAGAGTGAGAGTGAAAGTAAAATGGCGTTTTGAAAGTGCTTTTTTTTCCTATTTCCGGAAAGAAAAGACGGACTTAAATGAAATGTATGTTTAGCATTGTTTTTTCTCTCTTTTAAGTTTCTTTTTCTTTTTTCTTTTAAAGTGCTTTGGAAGTTTTTCCTTTTTTTGCACTCTCCCTGGTCTTTTTTTAATTTTAAGGATTTTAGTATTTTTTTTTTTAAGGAGAAGGAAAGAGAGAATAAGATTTTTAAAAAATGGCTTCAAAGAGACAACCAGCTTCTATAGTTTCTAAGGTGGTTTCTTCTCCTGTAATTGCAACTGTACAACAACAACTTAAAGTAACACCACCGGTGCAGCAACCTAAGGCTACACCTCCATCTTCTCCTCCCCCGCCAGGCTTGTCTGCACAAGATATTAAAGATATAATGGGAAATGCTGTGTCTCAAATCAGGGAGGAAATGAAGCAACTTCTTGAACAGAGCAAGTCTGAAAGTAAAGAGGAAATGAAGGAGGAAATGAAGGAGCTTTTAGTGCAGAATAATACTATTCTGAGGCAAGATATAGTTTCAGCTTTATCAGGATTGGCTTCTGTGGTCGTGAAGCTGGATTCCAGAGTGGAAGAAGTTGCAGAGAAAGTAGATTTCCTTGAGTACAAATTCCAAGATATGGAAAAAAAGATGGAAACTTCACAAGATGATATTCTTATGTCTCAGTATAGACAAATGGAATATGCTTTGAGAATCAGGGGTCTTAAAGAAGACATGAATCAAGATCTGATGGAGATGGTGATTAATGATCTAGCTGTTGTTTTGAATACAGATAAAGATGAATTACGTAGAGAAGTAGAAAAAATTTACAGAGTTAACTCTTGGATTGCGAAACAAAAGAATTTGCCAAGAGATGTGGTGATCTATTTTGCCAAGAGGTCTCTGCGTAACGAGATTATACAAGCTTTTTATAACAAGAGGTTTCAGATTGCTGCCCAAGATGTCATCATTTTAAAGGAAATCCCATCTAAAATTTTAAGAAATAGAAAAGATTTTGCTTTTTTAGCTAATGAACTTAAAACAAGATTGATGCCATTCAGATGGGAGATTCCGATGGGTATTGTTTTGAGCCATGCGGGGACACGTTATAGACTTAATACGGTTGCCAAAGCTAAAGAATTTTATAATACGGTCCTGGGAGCAGGCTCATTTTCATCTATGACTCAGAAAGCTTTGGGCGGCAAAGAGGTAGAACAGCAGTCTGAAGGACTAGGTTTGATGGCTGCTGGAAAATTACAGGTGGAATGGCTGCGTCAAACAGAGGTCAAAGAGCAGAGAATGACCCGTGCAGCACATAAACGTAAGGAAAAGGAACAACAGAAGAAAGAAGCTAAAGAATCTTCTCATGAGAGTGCTTCGATGCCGGTGGGAGGAGCAAGACCCAAGAGTTCTGCAACACATTCTTCAGTGGCAGATCTTCAGGCAGTCTTCTCCAGGCTCCTGGTTGAGGGAGATGGCAAAGTTCCTGACCTGGAATGCTAACGGTCTCAATTCCCCGCAGAAAAGAAAGAAAATCTTTCATTATTTAAAGCAACATAATAAT